AAGTAGCACCGTGCCCTACATATGTGTAGTTTCGCCATTGCGAAAGCAGTTTCCCGCAGAAAGTTCTCCACGAATGCATCCCTCCCCTTAGGCAGATAACCCTTAAGGCTTTGCCGTAATCACATAAACCAAACCAAACCAAACCAAACCAAACCAAACCAAACCTTTCTGAGTTGATTTCCAAGGCGGGGTGCAGTATGCCCCGTGATGGAGGTTGTGCTAGAACAACAGTAGTACGACGAAGCAAAACCTGTAAATCCGTAGACTGAAGTTCTGGTGCTCCGCCCATTAGTCCTTGTTAGTCACTGATGACTGACTGGCTTGACTCCTAACGTGTTAATAACGAATTGTGTTATGTAACTGTGTTGAGTGAAATGTTTTGAAAAAATCGCATGTTGAATAAAACTGATACTTGTGTTATGCGAGTTTTAGAAAAAATTGTATCTTGCTCTTACTGGTATACGGGCTATTACGCATACATTTCCTCGTGGGAGGCACAAATTTCAGTTAACTGCAGGGACTAAAACTGAGAATTTCTGCTATTATTTGTAAATAAATAAATAACTAGTCGTAAAGTATCCAATAAAAAATTTCACCAAAATGCAATCAAATCAAATCTTGCACCGTTTACCTTTGCTTTGTTCGATTATGGAATTTGTTTTTCAGAGTCCAGCAAGTATCACTTGGGGATACATTTAGTTCGCATAGTTCTGGATGAAACGTCTGATAATATTCAGTCATTGTAAATTGTCGTTATATGAAACCATTCAAAATCTCTGGCCTAGACTTCAAAAAACTGAAGCTTTTTGTCATTTGTTTCTTTTTAAAATCCGTTTATCTTAAAGTGCAAGACATTTCCTCGAAACATACTGTTATCCTAAAAAAAAGAATGTCATGTGATGATACGCATGAGGTATTTTTGGGACTAGGGAAGCACCTAAGCGAGAATTAAAATGCAGTTCCTTCCTCCGAAACTTTTGCTTATTGCACCAAATTTTCCGTCTTGGGGTTATTTCGAAATCGCACGTAAATCCGCGGCCACTTTTGTCTGTTAGTATCAGAATATCAGCAGCGTGGGTTTTTAGACTCAAAGAAAGCTGTGACCTTTCGGTTTGTTTTAAGAACCGGGCTATTTTTGTTGTGATGCAATGTATTTTTGTTGTACCGACGCGCTAATGTTAAGACAAAAATAGGAACCACCTGAAGCGCGTGTATGTGCGCTGTAAACAGCATTTCGTGAGGCCATCCTTAGTAGTTAGATGTTTTTAAGCTATTGTCTTTTGAAATAAACATATCGATAAGGTATCTATAATCATAAATAAAATTTTTTAGATAAGATTGGTCTATTATTGATAATATTAGATATATAGAGAAGTGTTTATTTTTTTAATCTCCCAAGCCTATTTTTAAGACTGTTTGAATAACAACAGGGAATTTAAGGTAACTGTTTTTAATTATTAATTTAGCCATGTATTTAATTAAAAGGTACTACCTGATTTTTCACGGCCTCCGCGATAAATTGCCATATTATGTAAAAAAACGGCAGCCAAACTAAGTGCAACCCATAAACGTTCTCACTTTCGATTTCTGTTTGCCGAATTTAACGAATAAATGTTAACAAATGTTCAAGGCAATAATATACCTGAAATAAATAACAAATACAATAACAAATAACTGAAATAAACGCAGTAATATAATCGAAATTGACGAGAGTTTTTTTTTTTTTTTTTTTTTTTTTTTTTTTCGCGTAGCGAAAAGACAACCCTGGCAAGGTACTTACAACAGTGGATATTCAGTGGGTTATGCCGTGAAACCCCCCTTTTATGCCTGCCAATAGCAAAATTTTTATGCCGCACTTTCTCTCCTCATTTAGTAGTCCTCCGCAGACTCCAGCTCAGTCGGACGGACGACACCAAGGGAAGAGGATACGCTCTGCAGAAGTTAACTAACGCTCTTCGAATTGAATGGTGCCTACAACATTTAGATGTAGCTACATCTCTACTAATTCAAGCCCAAGTTATGCCTTCTTTAATGCCACAATTGCTAAATTGCTTCTTCATGTTAATACTACTTATTGCTATAATTGCTTCACGGAAACTCATGCTATAATTGCTACTTCTTCAATCTTCGCTATAACGGACTTTCATATTTTTGGACTTTAAATTATGCTATGCGAAGGAAAAGATATTCACAACACTCTACGTTACTATATACAGGGTAGGGAAGGTTTTCAGGAATCTGCTGCATGATTTCGTCACTTAAGAGATGCCGTGAAAGTGGCGAGTGCTTTCTTGTTCAGCCTCCTAATCGCGAATCAAGCACACTGATATCAACGAGTGTAGACCACGTAATGGATGGATAGACAAAAATGTTTAGGTCTTTGGCTAGCCTAATAAAACAGACGAGATTGAAAACGTGGGTTATAGCCATTTAAACTGTGAATCACACATTCGGGAGATCAGCTTGGCGATAATCTTGGCGCCGTTTTGATACTGTGAGGCCATGAAAATCCAATAGTCCCAATTAATACTGCAAGCTCCCTTTAGCAATAATTTGATATCATAAATCAGCAAAAATTCATAATTCATTTTTGTGTAATAATATATATTTTGTGGATAGCAGTAATTAAAATTAATGCTAATTTTGGTACTAAAAATGTAGTATAAAATATGGGGTGAGATTTCAAGAAAAAGGAGTATGAGATTTATGCCGAGTGCCTGTAGGAAAATATGGAATAGATTTTTACGGCAGCATTTGATTCATTGTGTCATCTTCATGAACTAACCCAATGATACCTTAGTAATTTGGTCTGAAGATTTCTCGATACTTCCTGATTATCCATGCCCCCATGAAATATTTCTAACTCATTAGAGGGACTTCATTTATTGGTGAAAAGCATTAGTTTGACTAGCTTTTTATGTTTGTAGAAATTATTTTCGGTATTTTTCTGTTATCGGAAATGGATTCAGAAATGCATACCTGTAAATGCATACATACATGCAAATGTGTGTGGACATGAACTGTGTAATACTATATTTTGTCATACAATTCTCAGATGTTAATAGAATAGTGACAAACTTTGTTATCAGACTTTGAGTTCTGGTAATGTACTCTTAAAATTTTTTTATTATGTATTCCTTAGGGGTTTATGACTGTATTATGAGCACTGCTGGTCTACAGCATTGTAGTACTCATAAAATTAATGAAAACAATGTGTGTTATGCTTCAGGAATGTATAAATGTTGTGCAAACTCTAATAATGACTACCTTTAGTATTTTTAAGAATTTCAACATTGTTATTGAACATCAGCTCTGTAATATGACACCTCGTTAGAAGACCTGGTACTTATGTATCAATGCAACCACCTTGGCACAATTTTACAATTTTTTACAGATGAAAAGGTAAAAGTTGCGTAGTGTTTGTGTGTTGGCAGTTTTGTGACATTTTTTAAAAGTAATCCCAAACTATCAATATTTATTGTAAGTGAACAAATATTATGTACACATCAAAAGAAAACACTCTTCAAGAAATTAAAATATGAATTTTAATTAAACAAAATATAATCAAATAAAAAATAATAAAATGCCTGTTAATGTTTTTCACAAAATTCTTTTAGTACTCTTCTTTTCCTTCATCTACATAGCAATCTGTTTTCACACACACACACACACACACACACACACACACACACAACACACACACACACACACACACACACACACAAAAGGGGGGGAGAGAAAGAAAGAAAGCTTTGATTTTATATTACACCCAAAGGGCTTTTTTTAACATTTTGTGTGTTGCCTTTATTAAACACCATGCTCTTCGCATTTAAACCATAAAATCAATTCAACAGCAATATCACAAATTAAGAAACCTTGTGCATAAAATATCCATGCGCGAAGGTACACGAGATGTTAATGTTAATAAAAAGTTTATAAGTTTTACAAAATATGAAATAGATAATGAAAAAATTCCAAATTTGGGCTTCCCAGATGCCCAAATTTCAATGGAGGACTACGTTATTCAAAATTTGATGTCTTTATGTACCGTTGTTTTTTCACAATGCGAGAAACATGCAAACATTCATGCAGATTCTTCATTATTTAATTTCTTTAAATATAATGCAGGGTTGTAATATTTGTATTCTGCAGAAATTTTATCGCAGTTTCTTCCATTGCTAGCAAATTCCGCAAGCAATATAAAAAAACTCGGAGGTAGAAAAGTATTACAGTTTGTATATAAAAACCTTTGAAACTTAGAACAATTTTAAAGGGATTCAGACTTTTATAGTGTGCCAATGCAAAATGGCAAAACGAAATTAATAGCCCGTCTGAGCTAATGCTACTTTGGGCTTCAAACTCGACATTGTGCACCACCTGTCTACTGAGTGCATCTTATTATTATTCCCCTTAGCTATTTTGTGGCAAAAAAACAGTTTCTGCAGAAATTTTATCGCAGTTTCTTCCATTGCTGGCAAATTCCGCAAGCAATATCAGAAAACTCGGAGGCAGAAAAGTATCACAGTTTCTATATAAAACTTCTGAAACTTAGAATTCAACAAAAAGTTTGCATGCAAAATGGGTATTTCCTTATTATAACAGCCCCTGAAACTTAATCACTAATTAACCAAGATGTAACATGTGGCAAAATATCTCGATTGATTAGCGATTCAATCTTAGATGGCACTATAATAAGGAAGTATCCAGGAATGGTGTGATATTACTTAACTGAAGAATTGTTAGGAGCATGGTTACCTGAAGAATGTTTATACACATGGTTGCTAGCACTTTGCATATTCTGAAAATTGGGTGACTTCTACTAAGGTGGTTACGATAATCCATGAGTACTGAGGATCAAAGTCATTTAGAAGTTTGCATGGTCATCTTAAGGAGATTTTATTCAATAATTATGTGACAACAGAAAGAATTCTTATGTTTGAAACTTTTTGAAGCTGAGAAGATTATACAATGCTAAACTTTTAACTCATTTTTTATTTCAGGGACCCACAATGTAAAATGGCAGGTACAATTTCGAAGTTTATGTTCTACTGGAATTCCTCATCTCCAGGGTATTCTGTGATACCTCTTGTTTTGAAGGGTTAGCTAGATATGTCTTCCAACGCTAGTGCGGAAGAGCAACCTCTGTTGACTGGCAGCAATATGGGTAAAGGACTGAGCTGGGAAAAGCAAGACCACAGGGACCATGTGGCAGACATGCATATTCATGTAGATAGTCTACACAATGGACTTAGTAGGCGTGATAAAAATGGCGAAGCCCATGGCTCTCAGGATGGCACAGTCAAAATTAATCTTCCTCCTCCAGAAAGAGAAGAACCTCGCTTTCCTCCAGAAAAATGGAAGACTTTTTTAAGTTTTGTTTATCTGACTCTCAACATGGCCTGGACATTGACTGTTTTGTCTATTGTGCATGAGCGAATGCCAGACAGGACCAAGTATCCTCCTCTTCCAGACATATTTTTTGATGTTTTCCCCCCAGTTGACTGGGCGTTAGATGTATCTGAATTTATAATCATTGTCTCCGTGTGGTTAACTGTACTTATGATAATCATGCACAAACATAGGTAAGTATTTTTTTAAGCTCTAGCAATATATCACTTTAATTTGTTGTTACTGTTGTTATCCAACTGAGTTTAAAATATGGAATTTTAAATATCCAACTGAAAACAATCAGCACCACTTTAGGTGTTGATTGTTTTCAGTTAGCAGATTTTGGGTCCTTGCAAAATAAAGTTTTGCTGTGCCAGAACTGATTAGTTTCATATGCAGACAGTTTAGCGAAATAAATGCACAGCTCCATCTTGAATAAATATGTGTAAAAGTGGCTTTAATTTCCGGTGAAATAATTGCAACCACTTTGGCACAGTTTGACGTTTTTTTGAAGAAAAAGAATGGTAATTTAAATTTGGAGAATGTTATGTATTTCATATCATGAATGTTGTTAGGCACATTCGATTTTTATCCTGGAAAACAATTTATAAAACTACTTGCAAATGGCATCTCCCGCATGTAATCATTCCAGTCTACTACTGTCTTGCTGGCCATTTCTATTATTCCTTTTAGAGATTTTGCAGCAAAAAACAGTTCCTGCAGAATTTTACCACAATTTTTTCAATTGCTGGCATATTCCACAAGCAATATCTGAAAACTGAGTTGAAGGGGGGGGGAAATATCGCAATTTGTGTATAAAAACCTCTGGAGCTGCTGCAGTGAATAGCGGGCCACTGTTCTTGAATCAGTTACTGTTTCGAATGCTGATGTGTTCATTATACATTTTCACTTTGCATTTCTAAAAAGGCGGTTCTCCAAAATACATCATTATCAAATGCAAATCTGAGCATTCCTCTATTTGTATGCAAAAGATTATATTTCTGCAAAAATTTCACAGAACTTCCTTCATTTGTAAGCAGATTCCACCAAGTGCATATTTAAAATTCAGCTGAAGACCAAAAATATCACAATATGCCTAATACAACCAAAACAGCATGTATGAAAATGGCAGAGTGTCTTATTAAAACTTACAAATATCAGTATGGTCACCTCAAAAATTGTTATTGCACATGGTTGCCACAGTTCGGCAATTTTTAACTTTTTGAAACTAATGATGCTAAGCTGTACTCTGAAGATTTCATTTAATTTTTTTTAATTACATATATGTATCTATCATAAATCATCAAAAACATAAATCATTGTTTTGAGAATATGTTTTTAAAATTTTGGCTGAGTAATGATTTCATATTATTTATTCTTTTATATACATCTTCCACATTTGCCATAGTGAGAGACTATCTGATTATGCAATTAGGTGAATGGCAAAAAAATGCAGGTTCATGATTTTAGCAGGCTGTTAGGCAAGTAGTTTTTTTAGAAATGAATTTCGTTCATTAGAATGTTTAACATGTTGGTCTGATTATTTTTTAAATTATTTTTATTGTGTACTATTCTAGGTTTTCCAGCTGTAAGGCAAATGTATTTCTGTATAAGCTATTTCTGGTTTGTTTGAATTTTGAAAATGTTTAATTTATGTTTACTGGGTACTTTTTGATTAACTGCACTGAATGAAAAGTCACCATTTCACTAAAAACTTTGTGAATTGATGAGGAAAAGGCCTTGCTCAGTTAACTATAAAACTCTTAGTTACGATTCTGTTCATAAATAATTATAAAAAGAAACAATAACAATATATCCAAATAACATAAAATAATAAAAATAATAAATGTTTTGAAATAAAGCAGAAATTCATGTGGTCGATATTCACGTTTTTTACAATCAATAATATTTTGCAAAATAAGTAAAATTTGATGTTAATCCACATGCATAGTATGGTATACCTTGGCTATTATCCAGTGTATACTTGACAAAACGGCAGTTTTACATTATGTTGAAACTAAAGACGTGTAGATAATCAGAAAGTATCTTTTATTGTTAAGATAGAAAATTTGCTGAAACCTATAACTGTGAAATTAGTATAAAATACTTTTCTGAAATAGGAGTGTCTTAAGTGTGTATTTATTTTTCATTATATTTTCAGAAATGCTGCTGTATGCGTTATTTTTTAAGAAATTTTTCTTTCCATTTTTATCCAATACTAGTTTTTGTGACTTTTATTTTGAAATTTAAGACTCTTTCCTTTTTTTGAGGCAGTGCAAAAATATCTTTAGAAACCTGTCTTTATTTATATATATATAAAGTCATTAGAATTATATGAACATCTTCCTAAATGAAAGGAAGCAAAGCATGGGTAATTTTGCACTAGTTGTTCCCTCGTTAAATTAACTACTGCAGTAGTTTCTGATAACATTTGAAATTTACACAGTATAAATTGATTAAATTTGCTAGTTTAAAGACAATTAGCCATTAAAATAAGTGCTTACTTATAATAGGAAGTATTAATTTTTTAGCAGAAGTTGCAAAAATCAATGTGTATCATATTGTTAAAATATGAAACTGCTTTATGACTTTTGATAATATGCAGATTAATTAGCCCCCATCAAAAAAAGATGCTGTTGTAAACAAATATTTGAAAATGAGAGAAATAAAATGATAAGAAGTTAGTAAACTTTTTATAAATAATTATTTTTTTGGTTCAGTTTCATTTGTTTTTATGGCAAAGCACTCGAGGGCTGTCTGCCTAAAGAGATGGATGCCTTTGGGGAGCACTTTCTAAAGGAAACTGTCTTGTATACACATTGCACATGGGAAAGCCCACAAAAACGTTCGTGCAGTATATAATTTTCTGATTTTCATGTGACATTATTAATAATCCATAAGAAAATGAACATTAAAAAATTTTTCTACAACAGTAAATAAAGGGTTATGCGGACCAGATTCAGAAATGTATGTATATGTTCATGTATGCATGTATATGTTACCGGCAAAGTATAAAATAAGGCAATGTATGAAACAATTCGTATTTCACACATTTCCTAGGCATTCTATAGAATGCCAAATGACAAACTGTCAAAGTATAAAAAGCATTTCCGATTCGTTTCGAAGAACCGAAAATAATTACCAGAAGTTAATAAATGATGTAAAAAGGTCAAAATGACTACTAAGAAGGAACCACGGGACTACTGGCCACAGAATCGCTAGGTTGTGATTTTTGTGGAAAACAAAAGTACATTCATTTATACTGTTGAAGAAAGCTTCAGTGCTATGCAGTATTGCATCATGGACGGCGAGTTGTTTTCCGTATTTCATGAAAACTCATTTGAGTACTGCACAGGAACGAGAACTTTCAACCAGTTACAAAAACGTTACACGTAATGATATTGAACTGCAACAACCACCTTTGTGAGCCCTGCCAGAAAAAACAAAAAGGTATTAGGGCCCTGGTGTGAAACTTAAGATTGTTTCGGAATTTAACTTCTGTTGTCAGGTAGATCTTGCCGATTTCCAGTCTCAGCCAGATAGAAAATCCAAATTTATTACGCCATATCAAGATCACCTCACTATCTTTTTTTTACATATTTCGAAGAAAAATTTTTTAATGGCACTCTTTCATTATTTTTTTAAATAACATTTATATTTTAGAAGAATGAACATCTTTTAAATAATAACCTTATTGTAACCTTTTTTTCATACTTAAGAGCATTTATCATTTTACAGAATGCCTAAGTATTGTATACAATGCCTAGATAAAATATGTAATAATTCTCTTATTTCATACTTTGCCTAAAATAGTCCGACATTATATACAGTGCTTAGGCATTCTAAAAAATGCCGGCGTTTCATACTTTGCAGGTAATATACTATATATATATAATGTGTGTGTGAGTGCATATACGTGCACATATGAAACAAATCTAGGAATTTTTATTTGGATTTTTCATAATGGTCTGCGAAGTATTGATTCATGTTTGTTGTCATTGCAATAAATGTGTGTAATACAGTTTTTCAATTGCAGGCAGTCAACAATAAATCTGATATTCCTGTAAATGATAGGAATTATAAAAAAGGTCTATATTAAGCTAAAAATATATACATGTAACTATTTGTGAAGTACTATTTCATGTTTATTGCCATAATAACTAACATATCTGAATTTTATTATTTCCTGCCAACCTATTTACGTAGATAAGAGAAGTAATGTTTTCAATCCAAAATCTGATAGTGGGTTTTAGTAAATAAGCATGAGTTAGGGTCATCACAACATGCTTTTACTGTTTTAACATCAGTATCTGTCTGTATATGTGTGACTATTTTTGCATACACAAGAACTTTTATAACAGTCTTCATAAAATTTCTGTTTCCCATATTTAAAGCCATATAAAGAATTGATTAGATTTGGGATAAAATTGGACAAGAGCAAGTGATACTTTAACATAACCTATAACAGTTTTGCAGGAATCAACATCGTTGCATATATTAACCATAACGTATTGTTGCATCTGAAGGAGCCTTATGATATCTAAATATCTCCAAAGATATAAACGCAGATCTAAACGAGTTCAGATTTTGTTGGTACTATAGAAATAACATAGAAAAAAACTAAATTATGGCATTATTTCAAAGTATTTATTTTATATATGTTATAAATATGTAAGTTTCTTTAATTAAAAACCAATTATGTGTTATTCAGCTGCTCAGTAAAGTAGATATTAATAAATAAAGCAAACTTTTGTGCTGATAAAAATTTAGAAAAACGAGTTTTACACAAGGCCATTTATACCTTATGAAATGTAATCCAAAATTTTTTAGACGTATTTATTGAAACAACAAAATAGACTTTGTTTGTGAAGTAATCAACTGGAAGTGATACTTTAAAATTTGTTGCTACTTAAAACATGAAATTGATGGGAAGTCATGTGTTGGCCACATAAGCTTCTTCTCCCCTCTCCCTTTTTGTGTGTTAATAATTCAAATGTAGTTATTATATAATTTTCACTGTTCAAAACAAATACTTTTCAAGTATTTCATCTTTAAATATGGGATATTCTTAGGCATGTTGAATTCATTTATTTCATGGTATAATTTTAAACACGCATCTCTTATCTTATTACATTAGCAATTATTTTTTCCATGATCTTTCTAACTTTGAAGATATCGCACATAATACAAAATT